ATCTTTCCATTGTCAGAGAAAAGATGACCTCCTAAATAGGAAAATACTCTGGCAAATTATCGCTTATAAAATGCCTATGCCGATTACAATGAGAATTCAGTCAAGCAAATCTTAGCAAAAGTCCGCTCTAATCCGCCTAATATTTTGACTAGTCTATAGATACTAGGGTAAAGACGACTAGAACATGAACCTACACTGAATAAGACACGACCTCGCAGTAAAAACACCCAAGATTACAAGAATTCGAGTAAACTCAAATTGGTCCATGATTCTCCTAGCAGCCTGGTGAAACAACCGTTCAATGCAAAAAATTAGTACTTATACTACGAGTGAGACTTATTATACAACAGAATTACAATTAAGAACCCTTTCAAGTTGGGAGACAAAAATTCATGACAGAAGCCACATCATTTCCAAGGAAATTCCATGAATTCAACGCTTCCTACTCTCTAATCTCTCGCCTCTTTTTTTCCCATTCTGCCGGCAAAATCTCTTGCCAAACTGACAAAAAAAATGATAGGTGCAGAAAGTTTAACAACAAACTGTGCGCTCATTCATGAAGAAGAAACGAAAGCAACCGAGTCAATTGTTGCCAAGAACTAGTCGAGGTTGGAGCCACAACGGCACACGCACGACTCGCAGTAAAGCAACAATTCAACCTTTAACTGAGTGAAAATTGACTGCGGCAAAGGTTCTTCAAGTTTTTGGCAACGTTTCAACTGCGACAGTCGCCAGTTCCCTGCGCGACCAGCGTTGGCGCTCCGCCCATTATCGATCGTGTCACACTTTCGTCACCGCGTCGCACGTCGTCAGTGCTTCGTTCACCATCATGGATTACGTTCAGTTCTCGTCGTCGATGGGTTCGAGTTCAGCTACTGTTGGTCCTGTTTTTGTCCAGACGGATACCACCCCTCCTTCGATGGAGACCGATTCAGGAACCCCTTATTCCCTTACTGATCTGTCATCGTGCCGTGCCAATGTCGAGGAACAGCCTGTGTCTAATGTAGTGTCTCTTTTTGAGAATTATCCGTTGTTTTGAGGCATCGTATCAGTCATTCTCTCGTTCTTAGTCGTGTATTTGCCATA